GGAGCATTTTTCTTCCCTCCACGCCGCTCCCTGGTCCACCTGCTCCCGGCGATGCCCTGAAAGTGGCGCCGCTGTTACAGAGCTTCCTCAGGTCCTGTCGAGGCGCTTGCGGCAGGCTAGCGAGGGAAAGGCTTGCTGGGGGGGGGGGGGGGGTCCGAAGTGGGAGCCCGCCGCGGACTCCGGGAAAAGCGAGAACAACCGGATCGCCCGCGCGCCTCGGTCATCCGAGTGCCTTGCCAATCGAAAGCGGGTACCAGCTGGGTTGGCGTCTTCCTCCTTTTCCCCTAGAATCACTAGCCGTTTCCGTGGCCCGCCATGCACTCTTTCGTTGCCCTAGCTGAGCTGGAAGCTCGCCCCGAAAGGGCAGCGTTGGGCGGCAGGGACCCCAAAAGGCCAGGGCGAGAAGCATCGGAGGCAAATGCTTGTCCGCCCTTCTCATCTGACTGTCAGCCAGCCTCTCGCTTGCCCCCAGACCCGCGCGTCTGATATAGGGCAGCACTGCTAGGGCAGAGACAACGGACTCCGCTATTGCGCACAACTCGTAACAGATTGGCCCTAAGAAAAGGCCAGGGGCGGAAACGCTTCCGAGAATGTGCAGAGTTCCTTCCTGCAGCACCGCGTTAAAGCAAGGAAACCTCTCTTTGGAGTTGGAGTGGGGCAGGGGTGGGCCTAGGCCAGCACACATGCCAGCTTGTTCGGGGGGGGGGGTGCAGCTGTGCTTCCCCGCCCCCTTCTCCGAGACAAGGCAAGCCATCGGGGTCCCTTGATTGACATCCCACGCGGGATTTCGCCTCTGCCCTCAAGCGCCTGCAGGCCTCAGGCTCTGACTACTTCGGTGGTATCTTTGAAAGAGCAGCCGTGCTGCGCGGGCAGCGGCGGCAAGGGCAGTTGGATTTCTGCCTCGACCCGCTGCGGAGACGGGCACACACATGATCCGGGCCGAGCGCTTGTGCGTCTCTGCAAAGGAGGCGACGATTAGGAGGGAAAGCCTGATTATAGGGCCCGACGAGCGCTTCTCAGAGAGCGACGAGGGGCGGCGGGAACGAAGAGAAAGCAAAGCCCGGAGCCGCAGCTGCTGCGCTGGGACAGCTCAGGGCTGGCCTCCACACCGGCTCCTGGTTCCCTGACGGCCGCCGCGGAGGACCTGAAGCAGCTTTCCTAGCACCCGGGCAGGGTCAGGGAAGGGGGTCAGGAGCGGGGAAATCAATTAGTCCTCAGCCGGGCTGCAGAACCTCGCGCACACACAAGGCAGCTCTGTAATGAATGTGGAAAGGGCCTCTTCCAAGCCGAGTCAGTCCCGATCGCGCCTCGCCCTGTGTGAGGCTTTTTGGGAGGGACCCTAGGGGGTCGCTGCCTGGTTACAGCCGGGAAAGAGCTAGTCCTCGCTCCTGGGCGCAAGTCCCACCTCAGCGGGCTCAGCTCGGCCAGTTCACCCTGTCGCGGGCTAAAATCGGCGCATCCGAGGTTGGCTCTGGAAGACAAGGGCTGTGCTCCCAATTAAGGCAATTCAGCAGGGTGCTGCGGAAACACAGCGAAGGAAGAGAAGTTCCCCGGAGCTGTGTCTGCAGAATGGGCCGGGATACCAGTGCAAGGGACATACAGGGATGTCGCCAGGGACTGCAAAACTCTAGAGCGAGCCATCTTGCTCTGCAAGTGCGTGGCGGCTCGTTACACAGTAACATGCATTCCTTCAGAAAGTAGCCAAGTAGCCCTCCTGCGCTTGGGGCCACCTGCCCATGCTGCTGAATGCCCGATGTGGCCCGTCCAGGACACGAAGCGGTCCGCCAAGCAGGAAGCCCGCACGCAAACAGCACGAGCCGATCCCTACGGAGCCACCCAAGCAGTCCAATCCCACTGCATGTTTTCTCGGGAGCAAGTTCCCAGCGGCTTGCCCAGGGATGGGGTCCAAGCCCACGTGCAGCCTGAAGCTCCATTGCTTTCAAAAGTCCAGTGGAGATGAGCAGGGCTCCGTCCTCAAGCCATGGCGATGAGGGTTCAGAAGCCATGGCGGGGGTTGGGGAGTTTGGGGTCAAGTTGCTCAGATGCAGGTCAGCAAGAACCGGCTCCTCTCTGCCAGGGCGCCGAGGGCTGCGGAGGGGTCTGGAAGAGGGTGTTGCTTCGGGAAAGCAAACCCCGGCTTTGGTCAGCCAGCCCAGCCCCGCCTGACCGAGGCACCTGTTAGCCGTCCTTCTAAACAGATGTGAAAATTGAGCATACCTTTCTCTAAGGATAGGGGCCCCAAATTATTAATTTCTGCTGTGATCTATGCTTACATACCTGGGAGTAAGCCCCATTGAATTCAGGTACTCGGGAGTAACTGCCATTCATCTCAATGGAGCTTCCTTAGGTTTCACCGGTATTAGTTCTGCTTTTGCTTTCGACAATTTGCGACCTTGGTCGAGTTGCTGGCAACAGCAAAACCAACATCTCCACGGCTGCAACAGCAACTTTGGATTAAAAAAAAAACCAACCAGATTTCTCTGCTCATTCCAAGGTCTTTCTTATCTAAACAGTGTGCGGATGATTTTATTTTCTATTATTTTTGATCCCATAATAAGGAATCTAAAAACATTGGCAGGAAACTTTTTGGAAATCAGTGCCACTGGAAATCCGTTTTCTTTTGATTTAACAAAACACCAGTGCACGTAGGTTGTCATAAGTTATTTCTCAGTTTTAAAGGGGGGGGGGGAGTGAGAAGCAGTCGATAGCTGGAGGAGAGAGATGCTAGAAAGGAAAGAAACTTCCTCAGGAGTAAGGATTTGGCTGGGTTCTGGAAAGTGCCAGGTGTTTCGATGTGGTGCGCGCGCGGGGAGAGGGTGGCAGTTCTCCTGCTCAGACCAGCTTCTACGTTGGCAAGGCAGCTTAGTGCAAGTTGGACCTCACCTCCGCGTAAGTAAAGGCAGAGCAGCTCTGGCTACTGATAAGCATCCTCAGTGGTAACCACAGCGTTAGCACAAGCGAAGGCGCAGCGCGGAGGCACGCTTAATTCTCGCCATGGATCCTCCTTCCAGGTAGGAACTCGACGCTAAAGGGACAGTGCTGAGTTAAGGGCGCAGCGCTGAAGGGTCACAGGAGCTGCAGTCCTTGGATTAAGGCCCACTGGATGCAGCGCGACTCGCTTCTGAGTGCAGTGCTACAGGCGGAATTGCCGTGTTTACTCGGAAGTAAGTACCTTTACTTTCAGTGGGATTTGCCTTCAAACAAGACTCCTTGAGACGGCATCCTTAGTTTGAACCATTTCTGCCGATTCCAGTGGGACTTGGTTTTCCCCAAAAGGATGATTAGCTTTGTCGTTAACACTGAAAAACGGAATGGGAAAATATCTCGCTCCTCTTCTAATCGCATCGCCATATCTGAATTAACTCCAGATTATTGATTCTTTCATCACCTTTTCCTGCTGATTGCCTCTGCCCTGACACGATTTGAGGAAGCGCCCACCTCTTAATCTTGGAATTCTTCATTCTCAGTTTCAGATAATCTATTTGTTCTTTTCTGGGGGCGAGGAGGAATTTAAAAACAACATTTTTCTTCACAGGAACGAAAAATTCAATGCCCACGTCTTTCCTTATCAAGAAAAGACTTCAAATAGAGGACCCGGGCTTCTTTTCTTAGCTTCACCCAGGATCTAACATTTTCTAAGTTTATTACTGACATGTTTACCGGTCTTATTTGTTTCACTCTCGTCATTTGAATCAAACAAGACTTTCGCATCTGGCCCATTTGCTGCTGATCTCTGGCGCTCACATTCTAACTCCCCCCCTCCCCAATATCTCAACCGGCACGATCTTGCTCCCAATAGCGGGGGTGGGGGAAACGTCATATTGCCATGTGGATTGTTTTAGGTTTCAAGGAGTCTGCCTTGCAAAATCTGTCTGGGGGGGGTATAATCAGCCCTCCTCCTCCCTACACGCCATTCCACTAAGAGCAGTTAACAAAATATTCGCCTAAAATACAGCATGCATGCAGGAAAAAGGAGCCCGACCGCAAGTTCAGAACAGTAATATGTTTCTATTTATCCAGGGGCTCAAGTTAAACAACGTGTGATTGGTCACTTGGGATAAGGCAAAGAGGAACAACAAAAATACCCTCTTCGAAATGAAAAAAAGTCGTAACAATAGACTCCAGGTACGTAGGTCTACATGTATACACTTCCAGTAATTGGGCTGGGCGAAAGGTTTATTCGACGCGACCTTCTCATCCGATATAGCGAAGTCACTTAAAAAAGTTATTATATCGGCTCAGAGTTTTAAAATTAGCTTTCAAGCTTTTTTCGCTGTAATGCAGAAACGTTGCCGCAGATCGTTTGCTATGCCTTGAAATCTACCTGTCTCAGGTGGTAAAAGCAGATAATTTTCTCCCGGGTTTCATTTAGTTCTTCTGAGAAATAATAATCATAAAAATAAGAATTGGCTATAACGCGTCACTGTACAAACGTAGTCTAAAACAGCATGCTTTCAGAAGGCTTACAAAGAGGAGAGGATATAGATAGGACTAGATAAATCAAAGAAACTATCAATTTGCTTTGTAGTCCTTTGCACGGATGGGGAGAATGTCATCGCTTCAAAAACTGAGTACATATACAACATAAAATCAGCACCTAGAAAGAAGAAACGGTGGTTTGGATGCGTTTTAAGATCGGGGGCTTGCTGTGAAGTAGCTACCGAGGTTCCTGCAGCTAATGCAGCCAGGGACACAGAAGCATAAGGAAAAAAGATCTAATTTATGAACTGAACGTATTTTCTCAAAGGAAAAGTCACCTTAGGTAACGTGTAGGAGGGTGGGGAGGAAAAAGTGCACTGTCCCTTTAAAGCCAAGTTGCTATCTAAACACAAGTAAACAAAGTGTTGGAAAAGAGAGTGGAAGGCGGAACTCCACGGGGCGGTCTTAGAACTTTACAACCTCCTGAGCGTTCAGCGCTGGGCGTGGTTAGAACGTTCAAGCCGTGAACATTCGAATCGTTGCGGCTTGGGGTGGGACCGCGGGCGGGGATAGAGCTCCACGCCACTTGAACTGCTGAAATGTGATGGAACTGGGAGGGGGGCTTTCAGACTTGTATCAAACGTCGCTGGAGTCGAAGGCGAGAGGCTCAAAAAGAAGTAGGGCCGGGAAGAACTTCTATGCAGGGTCACCCGAGCGAGCCGGGACTTTACCCACTTCCGAGCCGCCCGAGAAGGTGGAAAGCGAGAAGGGCCGGCCCCCGCGGCCGCCTCGTTGACTTCTGGAAGCCCTTCCGTAACATGCCAGAAGCCGGCCTGCGGACTTTTTGGCTTCACTGAACTCTAGCGGAGTTTTGCACCTCTCCCGCATGGATCTAATGATGCGGCCAAAACACTAGGGATCGCTGGGCGAGCTCGGTCTTGGGAGGCCCGTCGGCAGAAGGTGGCCCGCAGCGGGAGGAGGTAGGTAAACCCTTTTCATTTATGTCCTCTTGACTGTCCCAAAATGGTGCCCCGCACTGGAAGCGCAGGCAGCTCAGTGTACGAAGGCTGGCTGGGAAAGGTGCTGCGCCGCGTGGAAAGCGATCTTTCCAAAAAGTTTCTGGGGCGGTCGCAGAACACCCGCAACGGGTGCAATAGTCCAAGAAAGAAAGTAGGGGGGAGGGAGAGCGAGAGAGAGAGCGCGCGCGCATCCCTTTAAATGTGTTTAACCGAAAAAGCTGATCTGAAGAAATGTAATGCTACCATCCTGTGCTCAGTTACCTGGGAGTAAAGCCCATTGAACGCCGTGAGATTACTTCAAGTAAACGTACAGAGGTTGTTGTGGGGCTGAGTATGTGACGGTTTGACGATCAGCTCGAACTGTCTCAGAGGAGTGGTCGTGAAGCTTCAGGGTTACTTTCGGTTTGAATCTGTCTGCTTTTCACACGCACGAGAACGGGCAGATCTGTTGTTCGTGTGGTTTGCTCGCTCGCGCCCAGAGCCTGCTGTATTCTGCTCTTCGGGTTTGACTCGTGGCGTCCCCGAGCCCTCGCAGGGAACTTCACCTCCTTAGTTAGGGGCGCGTACGTTAGTCATCTTGCTGGTTAAATAAAGTCATCTTGCTGGTTAAATAAATCTTCGGTAAAGATTCCTTTCCTCCACGTACGCACTCCCCAATCAAGCCAAGAGAGCCTTCGGAGGATTCCAAAGCAGGCTAGAAGAGATACACTGTAAGGAAACATAAGTAAAATCAAATAAAATAAAAAAATTGGGTGATCTGGAATGTATCACATTCTTTCCCATCTGCGGCAGATCTTTGTATAACTGATAGGTGAGGATCATGGAAACCTGCTCTTAGTCGTTCCCCAACCTCGCGCTCTCCCGTAAGCAGCAGCTGCTTGTTTCACATTCACAGCAAGGCAAACGCTGCCTTCCCTGTCTAAGTCTTGGCTGTCAGAAGCACTTGAAAAGAAAAGGTAACTCCAGCCAAAGATCACATCGGAAAGAAGCTTCCTCTGTAGACACCGATCTTAATTCAATTAAGGATTCGGAGTGGAAAGGGAAGTGACAGTGTGTCTAAATAACATCCGTGTTTGATGCGCACCCTGACTACCCTCAGAGTCTCAGAGGAAAAATGCTGCGCTCTCCAGCCTAAATCCTCCCCACACTTTTCTATTGTCAAGTTTGGCACCTAAATATATTTACTTTATGCAGTCCTATTGGTTGTAGTGCAACGAAGGGTGTGAAATTGAGGACTTCAGCCTCCCAGCTCGTTCAAAGAGGAATAGTTTATGGTCAGCTTTCCAGGTTTCCCCCACAACCGTACACAGAGAGAGAGAGACAGACAGACAGACAGACATTGTTTGGGATGCATACTGATATTTCCATACGAATCTATAATAAGTGTTCTATAGCCACACTCACCGTGTAACAGAAAATATAAAGTGGATAATGATATATAGAATCTGTCAGGTCTTATAAAGCAGCAATACTTAATTGTTTTGAATGCATTTTTGCTCAACAAAATTTGGTAAACTGAAAAGATTAAGTGCATAGCATGTGACCTAAGCACATGGGTTTTTAAAACAGAAATACACTTCAAAAAACAACAACAGTGAAAGAACTACAGTAATGAATCAGTGGGATGTATTTTTTGTGCAAGTGTTTAGGATCTCCTTGTCAAGTGGCAATCCTAAGCATGCAAGCAATTTGCAAAACTAATATTTTTCCAGTAAATGTATAAAAGATCCACCTAAAGATTATAATTATATGCTCAGTTATTAGGGAAAGCTAACGGTTCAATCCTACATATGACCAGTTGGAAGTCAATGCCATTGAGTTCAATGCAGTTTACTCCCCAATAAACCTGGTCTAAATGAGTTTGTACTCCTGCTTACATTGGCAAAACTATTCTCAAATATTTGAAGTTTGTTTATAATATCCCAGTTTAATTCTAATAAGAAAATGAAATGTTTAGGGAGCATTTTAAATCCCTTAGTCTTACTGGTTATAATTAAAGCAAAATAAATGGTGACTGGGTATCATGGTTTTTATGTAAAGGATGTATATATCTCCGCTTCTATTCCTAAGGCAGCCTTATGCTGAAGGTAAATTCGGCTGGTTTTAATTGGACTGTCTTTTGCTAACAGCTTGATCCTGTGTATGTCTACTCAGAAGTAAGTCAATTGAATTCAAAGGCGTTTACTTGCAGGTAAGGGCATGAGATTCCAGCTGAAATTTGTATTGCAGATTCAAGCTGGAAGTCATTCTACTTAAATCGGTGGATCTTCCTGATAAATATATGTTCAGGTTGCACTTTCAATATAATTCTAATATTCAGGCAGCTGGGAAAGGACACTCTGTACAAGTTTTATTGGATGCAAAGACATAGAAATCCATGCAAATTATTTTGTAGTAAATGTGTGTGATGGAAGTGAGTTTGGGAGAAAAGGTGGGGGGAGGGGAAAGAATTCCACATCTTGACTATAAATTTGTGGGCATAGTATCAGAGCTTTGGTGCATACCTGCTTTTGAAACATAATATAATATTATTCATAAACATAATATGAAACATGGGAGTTTAAACAAACAACTTAGGCTGTATATATATTTTAGTATCTAATAATTTTTGTAAAGCATATTCATTCCCCTGTTCTTCTGAACATCTAGGAAGTCATGTGTGCATGTGTGTGTTACACACACATGTGCACATTCCTGTGTGATATTTTATATAAATGGAATGAAATGAACCAAATTTATAGGATTCCTTTGTCATTATTTGAAAAGGCCCCCCTTAGTGTACAAAATCGTTTGACTTCGATTTTCCTGCTGAAGTTTCAATGATATACCAATGAATGCAAGGGTTCTTACCAAGCTTCAGATACCTCTGCTTTCCATCTCCTTGTCCCTTAAGTCTATCACATTTCCCAAGGGGGGGGGTCTGTTGTTGGGTGCCTGCATGCGTGCAGCTCTGATTTATGTATCCACTTATTTATTTTGGAAGGGAAAGTGATGAGTGGTGGGAAAGCTGACTTAAGGATGGAGTTCATAGTTTCGGTTGAATGGGCTGAGTGAAACCCTCTGACTGTCACACACCTCTTAAGTCCCTCCGTGTGCTCTTGGAGAGCATACTTCAGTGGAGAAAGGATTGATTGCCTTAAGAGAAAAGGGTCTGATCCAGCTCCAGCAGCACAAGGTGCAGACCTGGATGCTTTGGCTCTTTCACCAATCATATATTAATCCAGCTTGAAAAAACAAAATAACACACTTTCCAATGCATTATTATATTATAAGAGAACACAGAGTGATTTTTTTGATCTCCTCTTCTCTTTGAAAGATAGTGGAGACGAGAATGATGAACTCTGCAGCGGAACAGCAAGCATTTCATATCACTTAATCTGAACTGGTTACCCCTTCATACTGATGAACTGTCTTCCATAGTTATTCCTGTGCATTTTTCTTGAGTGAACATTTATTAGTTTAAAGAATGATAACTGGTTAGATTTCTCTAGGTTTACCACTGCAGCTTCATTTGTGCAAGATAGACCTTAACTATTATTTGTGGATATAGGACTGTTTCAGATTAAATAACCAGGGATTTCAGCAAGGCTTAAGGTCGTATGAGCGCCTTTCAGCTGGGTTATTTTAATACATGGCTCGGCTGTATAGAAAAGAGCATCTGAAGTAATTTTTTATTCTGTGTGTATATGTGGTAGTGGGGGGAGCCCAACAGATGTGGCTGCCTCTGAGTTGTCCCAGCAGCATTTAAATGTAACTCCCAATTGGATGTTAGTGCCTCTTTATTTTGTTCTTGAAGTATCACATTTCCCACACTCCTTTCAAAGCTCTGAACAGAGATTCCAAACGGAACAAGAAAGAGGAGTTAGGAAGAGCCAAGTTCCTGGAGCAGAAACAGCCACAAAACGACCATGTTAGACAAGGAGGGTGTGGGGATAGGGAGAGGCATATCACATGCTCTAGAATGGACCGGGCAGTGCGTGCCAATAACGCTTCTGTGAGGTTCGGTGAGATGCCCCCTCTCCCCTCCGCCCACCTCCCAGCCCTGTCACAGATCACAGACCTGAGGACTGAATCTGAATCTGAATCCTTGGTGGCCCACCTGGAAACTAAAACCCATGGGGGAAGCGGGTCAGCACGGTGTGCTGTGCTGGCTTCATTGTCTTGGTTGCCGGGTGACCTTACTGGGAGCTGCCAGAATGCAAACATGGATGGCTCCTTCAAGGAATGGGTATATGTGCATGGCAGAGAAGGGGATGCCTCAGACAGGAATTACCCTAGCCAAAGGATGGCCTGCCTCACAGTGGGCCTTTTGGTCGAGCCAGGCAGAGGCACACTTTTTGCTTGCGGGCATGTGGGTGTGCTTGCTCGGCAGCCCTCTTGGGTGGCTTCTTAGCAGTGGCCAGCTGGAAGAGCTCTGCCCAGAAAATAGATTTATTTAGAACCTGTAGCGCTGGGACTTGGGCTTGTGGGCGGCTGGGAAGTGTTGCCTTTCTCTCTTTCAGTTATCTTGATAAATGAGTTGTGGCTGAAGGAAGAAAAATAAGCGCAGTGTCCAGGCAGGAGAAGGCGCAGTCAAGGCCAGAAGGGCGACCCCCCATTCCTCCCTCCCGCTGCTCTCACCCCCCACATAAAGAGTTAAGCTAAGGCCAGTGCGTGAGCCAGGGCCCTTAAAACCCCTAGCCCTGCTCCTTGATGTTCAGACCCAAGCTCTGAAAGTCACTTCCAGTTGGGCTTGCTTCCACCAACGAGGGCAAAGAAGATGTGGGCATTAACTGCCCCCCCCTTTAGAAATGGCACCTGACTTCAGGTCCTGGGTTTCCTTAGAATGCAAGCCACATGTGGATTTTATTCTTCACAGCAGAAAGGAACCTTTGAATGCTCGGGGAAAGAACCAGAGCTCGAAAGCAGAAGGCGGGGAGGTCCTGATCTCCCCGTGCACAGACCAGCCTGGTTTGCTTGGTGTATTTTCTGCTGCCCCTCTGAAGACAGCACATGAGTACATGGTCTGGGCTGTGATCCGAAGTAAGCTGCTCCAGTTTTGATGGACCCTGTAACTAAATTTACTGAGATGTAAATTCCGGTCTTTCTGCTGGGATTTTCATCCCAGGAAATATGCATGGGGCCCCTCCCAGACTGACAGGCAAAGCAAGCCATGATACGGAGCAGAGCGAGAGCAAGCGCTTGTTGGGACTAATCCGCACTGAACTTGATAAGGACAGCCAGGCATGGCAAGAATTCCCTGCTTCGGACTGCTTAAAACTGTGTGTGACTATTTAGAGATGGGATATGGACTTTTTTGTTATTCATGTAAAGTTGAATGTACATTTCAACCCTACACCTAAGGCCAGATTCTAGATGGATTACAGAAAACCTGGATTCACAGTGGCGTTATCTGCTCATGCAGACCAAAGTGATAGTGGAAGCAGACTCAAACAGTTGGGACTGAATTTCGAGTCGTGTGCTTGGGATTGGGACTTAACTCCATTTTCACTGGTTTATGAATCAGACAGAAAAACAACATCCTACTCTTTATTTCCCAGGGCAGAGGGGGGATTCTAGGTATATCACTTTCCCCCCTTTTCCCAGCCTGGCGTAAAATAACTGGGGGCTGTCAGTGAAGAGCCTTGAGTTCCTTCACAGCCATTTTGAGGTTTTAAGAGCCTAGTTCTCTGCACAAAGAACAGCCACTGGAGACTGTTTGGCATCAGCAATTTCACAGCCAAGGCTCATACTTTTATCAGAAGTGCCTTTGTAAGGGTGCTTAAACTTCCAGCACACCACTAGGGCAAGGGGGGACCAGTCAAGCAGTCCCCAGGACAAGGGGCTGCCGCCCTGTGTCTTCAGCACTGCAGAACACTTGCCTTGCATTTTGTGAGCGGGATGCTTAGCTCCTCTAGGGGGCTATTTCAGAAATACGGCGTTCGTCTCCAGCTCTGACATAATAATACTCTCAATCATCGCATGCATGCAAAAGGAGCATACTGGTCATATAAACAGAGCAGCAGAATCGGATTTGCCTCCCTTTGAAAGTTTCTAGTCCTTGTGATTACATTTTTTTTTTTTGTTACAGTAAAGAGACCAAGCTTTGGTTTATGGTTATATCTGATATCAGGCATAACTTACCCTAAATGGTATGTATGGGGAAGAATGTGTTTCATTGGCTATATTCAAAACACTGGTATTTTCTACAGGATTCCATGTTGGGTTTGGCCCCTTCTAGTCCTTTATAATTTGTGCCTGTTCATGGGCCAGGTGATGCCCCATCTTCTTCCCAGTCAGCTTTTTATTTTTTTAATAATCCCAATAATTACAATTGATTATAATCCATTCTGAACCTGCCCATGCTGCTCCACTGCCAGTTCATTAAATTGGTCTTGTCAATCCCAATCTTTGCTGTGTGGTGGTGATACTTTTCTATAAAGGCAATTTTCAATAATATTAAAATAATCACTTTTTACCAAATCTACATTTAGCATACTCTGTGGTGCCTCTTGAAAAGTGTATTTTTGACATGGGCTTTTATTGCTGCCTTTCACTTGAGTTATTGATGATAACGATAATTAACAGTAATGATTACGGTAATTTCAAGGTGTCAGACTGAGGTGCTGTCTTCCCAATCCTCACAGTTACCTGTAGAGTAACCTCTGTTTTTGCTCCCTCTCCTCTGTGTGTTCCTGCTTAGGCCCTGCTCTCTTAACAGCAGCAAGCACCTGTGCGTGTCCTCTGACCTGCGGCTGCCCTCCTGCCAGGCCGGCCCGGCAAGATGGGGAGCAAGGCTCTGCCGGCGCCGATCCCGCTACACCCATCCCTGCAGCTCACCAACTACTCCTTCCTCCAGGCTGTCAACACATTCCCAGCTGCCGTGGACCACCTGCAAGGCCTGTACGGCCTGAGCGCGGTCCATACGATGCACATGAACCACTGGACGCTGGGCTGCTATGCGGCCGCCGCCGCCACGGCCACTGCTGGAGGGGGCACTGCTGGCAGTAGTGGAGGGCCCGCGGAGATCAGCCGTTGCTCAGCGCTGAGCGAGATGGCGGCAGCACAAGGCCTGGTGGAGCGCTTCCCTTTCCCGGCGCTGCCCTTCGCCACACATCTCTTCCACCCTAAGCAAGCAGCTGCCATCGCCCACGTCCTGCCAGCCCTGCGGAAGGAACGGCCCCGCTTTGACTTTGCCAACCTGGCCGCGGCTGCCACCCAGGAGGATCCACCCAAAGCGCACCAGGCGGCGGCAGCCGCTGCGCAGGCTCACAGCGAGCTGGCCAAGCTGAGCGGCCCTCTGTCAGCAGCGCTGGGCAAACTTTCTCCGGACAGGAAGCCGGCTCGGGGCAGGCTGCCCTCCAAGACCAAGAAGGAGTTCATCTGCAAGTTCTGTGGGCGGCACTTCACCAAGTCCTACAACCTGCTCATCCACGAGAGGACCCACACAGACGAGCGTCCCTACACCTGTGACATCTGCCACAAGGCCTTCAGGAGGCAGGACCACCTCCGCGACCACAGGTCAGCTTCTGCTATCCCCTAGCTGGCAAGAAGGCTCAGCCTTGGAGCTAAGAACCCATCCCCAGTCCAGGGATCATCCTTCTACATAAACCCGTTTCTTTGAAAATATGTGCATCACATGCAGGATTGAGCTGAGGTTGAGCAATGAATCAGCAATCCATGCTTTAAACTTTACCACAACCTACTTTGGGGACCAATGCTGTGCATACTTACCTAGGAGTAAGCCCCATTGAGAGCATTGGGTCTTACTTCTGAGTAGATATGCATGGAATTGCACTGCATATCGTCTTAAGAAAGCAGCCACCTCTCTCAGCGTCTTATTTTTAATATGGGGATAATAATTCTGGACTACCTTACAAGGTCATTGTAAGGATGTTTGAGATATGTAATGCAGATTTAAGCTGAAGTACTGTCCATATGCTATGTGTTATTTTTGATTGATATCAATAGGATATGTCCAAAGGAAAGAAGTTGAGATCAGAATGAGGGTTGTTTACTGTGGAAGTACCATTGCTCTGTATGAGACATCCTAAGTTTGAAGCCCTCCTCAGTGGGACCAACTGTAGAGAGGGGCAGTAATCCCCTCATTTCAAAAGTGGTTGACTAATAGGAATTCCCATCACTTCTTAAGTGGAACTTAGTTTTCATTGAACCTAGTGTTGCAGCCCTCACTTGCACAGCCTCTTGAGAAAAGTTCTGCTGTCAAGAAACATGGGAGCCCTCCAGGGTCCTTCCTTGGGTTGTTCTTAAAACATTTCTGTATTTGGCCTTCTTTTTAGCCTCAGTTGTATCATTGCAAGTATAAGAATCATTGATACTTATAAATATCATTGAAGGGTTGGTGATCACAAGAAAGCACATCACTGCACTAGAAGGATGTGGCAGGAAATTTCAGCAGAATTAACAAATCAAAATTGAAAGGGGAGGAGGTTAGAAAAAGGTGCTCCCTAATGTTAATAGGATGTTCATTATTTTCTCTTCAATGCATCCTAGACAAACAATATTTACTAGGCGTTTTGACAGTGACATTTGTCCAAATAGCCATTTATCTCTGTTGCTTACTTTGAGAAGTCCAAGGAAGAGGTCCTTTCTCTTTCCACTAAAAGACCTAAATGGTGGGCCCAATCTTGTTGGATCTATAAATTGAAATGGAAAATATCTACCAGTCTTAACAAGAATGAGAGACAGTTCTATACATGTTTTCCTGGGAGTATAAGTTAAGTAAGGTTTATCTTTGGGTAAATATGTATAGAATCATATGCTTGCAGAACAATCTCAAATGTTTTTACTCAGAAGTAAGTTCCACTGTCTTTAATGGGCTTACATTCTAGTGTTTAGGGTTGTCCTCTTAATTGGTTAGTCGAAAAGGGCACTGCAGCACTAGAAAAAAATGTTGTCTAAAAAAATACAGAAAGAAATGGAGGAGGTTGGATTTATTGTTTAAGCTTAGTATAATTTTGATTTCAGAGACCTGAACTAGTTAGAAAGGCTGCTGGTTGGTGTGGCTCTTGCTATGTCTACTTGATACTGATTCAAAATGCCTCTATTGGCTTCCAGGTATATTCATTCCAAAGAAAAACCATTCAAATGTCAGGAATGTGGGAAAGGATTTTGCCAGTCCAGGACTTTAGCAGTTCATAAAACTTTACACATGCAGGTAAGGTAGTTCATGTAATTTAGACAGTTTGTTTTGATCTTAATTCTGTTCCAGCTTTTTAAATGAATGAATATAATGTTAAATATAGTTATTTGCTGGATACATCAAGAAACACAGCATAAGAGAGATGAGTTTTTCACCAGATCATGTTCTCCACCATTGTCCTCCACTTGAGCTCAATATGCCGAAAGCACAACACAATCCTGTGCACTTGCTTCACTTGTTGAGTGTCATTTAATGCATTTTTGGCATACAAATCAACTTGAGAGGAAAAAAATGTACCTAAAGAATCTTAGAAGCATTAAATAAGCTTGCTAATGTCAAAGGCTGCAATCCTGTATCTGCTTGCTTAGGAGTAAGTCTCATTTGGATTTTGTAGGGGTTAGAGCTGAATAAGCATGCTTGTTCGTGCTGTTCAGGCTGCATTGGCTCATTTAAGACTTGCTTGTTCCGTAAATAGCAAAGGATCCTCAAAAAGTCTGGCACTTCTGAAGTAGTTGGTAAATGGCTAGGTGAGATGTGTGCTCTGTTTGAAAAGCTCTGATTAAAGATACTTGCTTTGTGGAAACCTTCTCACTGATAGAGAAGAGGCCAGTATCCCTGGGAAGCCAGGTGGATTAGTGTGAGATTTTTCTGTGGATTCTAGAGATGGGGAAATGTCATGATGTGAGAAGAACTGACCTTGACAGGTAGGAAGATATATTCAAGTAGTTAAGGCTGTAATCTTAAACACACTTACCAGGGAGTAAACCCTAGAGAACTCAGTTGGATTGACTTCCGATTGGCTGTAAAATCCTGCAGATACGTGACCTGCATCTGGATACCAAATGCATAACTGGGAAGTAAATGGTCTCTGAGCTCCATAGATCTTGCCTTCAAATTAGGCTGCAGTCCTTTGGTGAGATAAATTATATGGTTGGCAGAAGGTGACCCAGTAGGCTTTCTGGCTGAGGAAGGATTGGATCCATGTTTTCCTGGACGTATCACAATTTATATGTCCTACATCATGTTAGCTCTCTGTTAAATAAACTTGCTGGAACTTGTTTCCACGTAAACATGAGGCAGGCACACTAGCCTAGGCTACTTACCAAAGACACTGTATCTCTAATCCTGTGTAATCCTGGGAGTAAACCTCACTGAACTCTGTAGGCTTTCTTTCTGAGAACAGACATTTATAGGGCCAGGCTGTAAATGTCTGTACAGCCCAATCATATGTATTTTAGAAGTGAAACCTATCCTTTCCAGCAGTGCTTATTGCCCATTTGAATATGCCTAGAATTGGAGCCATATGTGGAAATGACTTTCATCAAATGTGCTTCCCAGTAAGAATGCTTTAGGATTGCAAAGGTTTATTCTTGCACCCCCCTTCCACACACACACACACACACACAGAGTGTACTAGTGTTGTGCAATGTAATAAAAGCAAAAATGGGGAGGGAGGAAGTATGAGTGAACTTTGAAAAACTCAGTAATCTAGGTAGTTTGTAAAGGGTTTAATCCTTTGCTTGCTTCAAATCTGAACAGGAATCTCCACACAAATGCCCCACATGTGGAAGAACCTTTAATCAAAGAAGTAACCTGAAAACTCACCTTCTCACCCATACAGACATCAAGCCCTACAACTGTGAGCAGTGCGGCAAAGTGTTCAGGCGAAACTGTGATCTGCGGAGGCACAGTCTAACTCACACCCCGCGGCAGGACTTCTAGAGCAGCCAAGAACCTCCACAGGGAGCTAACTCTGGCTCAAGGACTTGAACTGTAGACAAAAAAATCTATATGCCCCTGCATATGTACAGACAGATGTATGCAGGGGCCCAATTCTCCATCCCCTGGCTCCAGCCCAAATACTCTATGGGAGGAGTGACTTCAGCCCCAAACCTTCTCCCCACATGGGGAGCACAGGCTGATTTCTTGTAGATAATAACAGTGCAGCTCATTTTAGAGCTCTGTACAGAAACTTTGGTGAAATGTGTTTGTTTCCTATATTGTCTTACCAAATGCACATTGGTAACAGCAACAATCTGGGAGTGAAAATATCTTTTAAAAAGTGTATTTCAAAATAAACATTTCCCCCCAATTTTTCATGCTTGTTTTGCATAACATGGTTGTTTAATAACTTTCTTATCTCATGACAGTTAAAAATCAAGAGAGTAACTTCTTAAATGATATTCAAGCTAATTGTATTTTTACATCTTAAGTTATTGAAGGGTATACAAGGGTTCTTGATGTTTAATTCTGTACATTTGTTAAAATCTATATTTCCACGTGTTTAATCATTCAATCCTATGCATGTTTACTCAGAACTGAATCCCACTAAAGTCAGTTGCACCTATCCCTGGAAAATGCATTTAACATTACAATTCAACAGTACAATTCTCTACATGTCTGCTGTGATGTAATTCTAGTTTGATGGGACATACTTCTGGATATATAGGGGAAAATATGCTTGTTAGGGAGTAAGGTCCATTGAATGCAGTGAAACTTAGTCCTGTGTAAACACAGATTGTGCTGCACAGCTTCAGTTTGGTGTGTATTTGCTAAAGAGTAGGACTTCTGAGTATCAATGGATTGGGTTCCATGAACTGTGCAATCCTAGACGTGTCTACTAATCTTATCGAGATCAGCAGGGCCCTTGCTCCCTGATAAGGTTTAGGAGTGCAACCCTACTGCACAATTCTCTGCATGTTTACTCTGAAACAAATCCAGTTGAGGCCAGTGGGACTTACTCCCAGGTAAGTGTGTTGAGGATTATCACCACCTTAGTTAAAATATTTTCTTTAATATATCTATCATTTTACTTCTCTCTCTGGGCTTTTACCTGTAATGATTTAAAGAAGGGGAGGAGGGCTGGGAAATGGTTTAAAATCCTTCCTAAACCCTTAAGTGATTTATTAGTAACTTATTGGCAGTCAGGCCCCAGAAGCAATAATCAGCTCTTCTTCAGAGAGATTTCCTGAGATAGCCTGTTGCTTAGACTTTGAACGCGGGCTGCAATTCACGGCTTGGAGACAGGGACCTTTACACCGCCAAATAAGACCTGCGGCAAGAACCGTCGAAAGCAAACTGGGACGGAAATTCAGCCCCCTGGTGGGCCATGGCGTCCCGGGTGGGTGGCGGGAAAGCGTCCTTGTCCTCGGGGCGGGCAGGCCACCCTGGGCGCTCTCAGGCCTCAACAGCTGCGGAAGGGGGCACCGTGTTATCGCGGCTTGCTCGGCCGCATCTCACGAATCGCTCTGGGGATTGCGAAGTACGAGGATACCATGCTCTCCCCCGTCCGTCTCATGCATGCCCAGAACTCGGGGATGGGGTGGAGCGAGCCTCGATGGGCGCGGGATGGCCATGCCAAGCCGCTGTGACTGATGTGGAAAACACGGTAGAATACAATGAAAAGCGCGGGAGGCAGGAGGGCGAAGCAATCGGAGAGAAAAATGGGGGAGCGCCGCACTGCAGAGCAGCTGTGGAGACGGCCAAGCCGACAGCTCCGGGTAAACGCTTCGAGGCGGAAGGCTGCCAAGAGCGCTCTGGCGGGCTTCCCGGCTGCCTTGATAGGGAAAGTGGTGAGTAAAGGGTGAGGGAGCGCTCGCCTGCACCGGGGAGAAAGGAAAAAGACTTGTTTGCTTTCCTACAAGGGCGGAGGGCGCCCCTCGCCACTCCGGCTCAGCCCCTGCCTTTTGGGCACGTAGCCAGCCTAAACCTTGGGCGGGGGCTTCCCCGAAAGTAGAGGGCGTCAGTCATCTCGTATGCAGGTTTTATAAACAGAATTGTGAACTTTTACATTACTTGTATATAACGAAAATAGGGTGCGCAAAAATTCAGTGATGCAGACCTCTCCTAGCCCACTCCGAGATGACAACTCCCTGGAACTAGCTTCGTAGTCCTGGCTCCCAGATGGGTAGGGTCATCCTTCAGGAATGTGTGTGTGTGTGTGTATTTTTAGTAAGACTATAGTTAAGATTAACAGCGTGATCCTACATGTATCTACTCAGAAGGAAGCCCCACTGAGTTCAATAGGATTAACCCCCAAGTGTATGTGTTTAGGATTGTGGTCCAAAATGCTAAATTTAAGATGCAGTTAAATACATTTATTTGGTGGTATGTTTTTAAGAAACAAGTTTATTCCAAAAGCATTCGTTGCAGTTACAATATTGCCTAACAAGTATAGCAAAGTTGTCAGTACAGATTAATAAGTAATCTACTGTGCTTTGAGGATGCATGGATAGGTCCATATTGCTGCTTGTAACCATAGTTACAAGGCCCTGCCCACACATATAGTTAAAAAAAAAAGGTGATGGAGTTCTAAAGCAAAATAAGTAGCAGAAATAAATTTCTAGCATGGCAAATTGGGGGAGGAACTTTTCTCAGTATGAGGCAGATCTGTGGCTCAGTGCTGTGCCAGAGTATTGGTGTGTCTAGCCCAGCAGTATCTGTCCAGAAGTCCATTGACACGACTGTTTCCCAACCCTCCTAGACACCAGTTACTGAAGCTTCTGCATGCAAACCATGTTCTCTACCACTATTTCTGCTTTTAAAAATTACTATTTTAAGAGCTGCTATTTCTTTTAAGAACAAACTTGCTGCAAAGTAGAAAACTAACAGGACAAGAGCAGGCTTGGAGAAAACCTCCCCCCCCCCCTTGTGCTAGGTTTATACTTAACCTAAGAGAGTATTCCAACTGTTACAGTCTATTTTGTGGTCAACCAGTGAGTTGTCCAGAAATAATATGCACCTGAGAAATAGAGGCACTAAGTACTTGCAGACCTAGATTTAGTAGAAGGCTGTTTTTCAGGTGTGGTGGTGGTGGTGATGGAATGTTACTGTGGCAGTAATATTTGGTTGTGAGGGAAACTAGCATTTCTCCTTACTGCTGTTTAAATGACCATTGCATCATTTAAAACTGTTTCTACATTTCCAATATGTCAGACTAACAACAAATCTTTTTCTCAACCCTAATGAAAACAACACTGGGCATGTGCAGTTTTACATTTTAATCTCACTGAAATGATAGTATCATCATGACTACAGGAATAAAATGGAATGTGGTTCTGTATTGCAGCTCTCTGGGTGGTCTTTTGGGGAGTGAATTGTAGGGCCCTGAACTTTTGCCTCAAAATCCAGCCCTAGTTGCCCCCTTGCTGAGAAACAATCTTATGAGGCTGGTATGTGGCAACTCAATTCTCCCTACATAGCATCCATGTGAATGGACAAGAACCAGTTAATGATGAAGGAGGAGCTATCCACGTGTGCTCAGATGTACTTTTCTTTGTTGTTAGTTCACATGCTCTAGATCTGAGCCTTGACATGAAATAAAGGGCTGGCTTGCAGCCCTGACTCAGATTAAGTGCAGGGTCAGGAAAAAGCTACCAGTTGATGTTCATGATCTGGTATTCCAGTTTTGGAGTTACAGACATGAAAGGTCATAAACTAATTACACAGTGAACTCTGCTTGGTTCCAATAAACTAGACATTTTACATGTGATCCTACAAATGTTGTTACAATTGGTATCAAACAGAACTGGATTACACTCCCCGCCCCTGGTTTAATTGAATGTCTGAAATACTTTAGTTTACAATTTAGAATCCTAAGCATCAACCCTGAGGGAGCCCCTGCCACCCAATATTTCAGAACACGTATGCTTATTCTTCAGAACTATATCTAAAAGGCATTAAAAAGAATCCTAACATGTATTCTTAAAACACTTCAGAACAGCTTAATCCTGAATATACCCAGATTTTGAACCTTGCCATGAATCTCCTTGTAACCACAGAAATATCTTCCTCCTCCACTGAAATCTCAAATGACACCCCAAAATATGTCTCCACTATTTGGGGGGGGGGGGAGGATTAATCTAATTGTCTTTCTCTCTGTATATAGTGAGTTTTATGTACACTCTATATTTTGGTGACTAAATACAATGGTATAAAAGAAAAGGAACATTTGGGCTCAGTGTTTTCTTAATGTGGTTTCCCTAACAGTGTTGAGGACAGATTTGTATACTTGACAAAGCATTGTGACACGAATGGAATGGAACAGCCTTTCTGTTGTTGCTGTTTTATAGAGCTTATGGTTATAATGCTTATCTAAAATTTTGAAATTGACCTAAAACAATGCAAACGCCCTTGCTAAAAATATGCAGGCAGCTGAAAGCAACAGCTCTATGAGGTACAGAGACCAAGCAGCTCATGTCCATACATTCTGCTAGGATTAGCCCCATGATACGAAGATAGAAGTCTTTGGTATACCTGTCATGGTTTCCAACCACAGCCACATGCTAATAGATGAGATGGATATCAGATAACCTCAACTTCCCTGATAGCAGAGGTCCCAAGGTTTACCAATTCAAAAAATCATTTGGAGGCTCCAGGAAAAGGAAGGAGGTGTGTGTATGTGGGAGCCCTGAAATGTTTTGAATGTTTTCAGGGTATTGGCACTTAACCATGGGAATGACCAATGCGGCTATCTCTTTTTAGAAACAGTTAAATTGTTGCATGTGGTAGGAATAATGGTATTCACCAATCACGGAAGAACACTCCAAGAGCACATTTTAACTTTAAAAAACCCCCACTGGAAACAATTGCCACTGACTATTACCAAAAGTACCCTTCAACCATTATGAATAGTTATTTTTTATTTTCATTACATTTATACTCCACTTTTTTTCCTCATGCAAAGAACACAAGGTCACATGGGCCTCCTCTCAGTTTTATCATCACAACTGTATGTGTATAGAGCCAGTGTGGTGTAGTGGTTAAGAGCATGGGACTGGGACTCAGGTGATCTGGGTTCTAGTCCCTGCTGAGCCATGGAGCCAACTGGGTGACTTTGGGCCAGTCACAGACTCTCAGCCCAACCTACCTCCCAAGGTTGTTGTTGTGGGGATAAGATGGAGGAGGAGAATGATGTAAGCTGCCTTGAGCCCTTTGTAGGAAAAAAGCAGGATATAAATCGAAAAATAAATAAATAAATAAAGGTTAAGCTGGGACTTCTGGATTGGTGAAAGGCCAGTGAGTTTTATGGCCAAGAGGGAAACTGTTTCCTGAGTCCCCATCCACCACTCAAACCACTATGCCAAACTGGAC